TTATGAATTTTGTGAATGGAAATGGTGAACTTGATCCATGACGTAATGATTTTTTAAAGAATATTTTAGTTATAATTGAATATGGAATGATAGGTTTTGAAAAGAATGAAAGTGGAGAAGATAAAGGCTGGAACTCGTTTATGGTGAAAATGAATTTAGGAAGATGAAGAGAAATAGAATGAAGAAGAAATGGTTTTGAGGTGAATTTGTATGGTGACTTAAGTATTGCAAAATGGAATGGGACTTGTATTTTGCACACCTTTTGTAATATCATGTACCCATTTAATCTCTTCTTCAAAAAATCAGAGTTTCTTGTCTTGTTTTCTTGCTTTTTCTTTTTACAAAGCACTAATTCATCAGTGACGTGAACCACAACTAACTATATCATGCCCATGTTCATTAAGACGAAGCAAGCCCTCAATGCATATGGTTAGATGACATGTTAATGAACAAGGCTGCATAAACCCTAATTTTAAAGAACAAACACAAGAACAAAAATACCCAGATGAACCACTCCTGGGTGACCCAATGTCAGAACTTTTTAGCTTCTCAGTGGGTCATCAGACTTTTGGATCCCTGAAACTAAATGCAAATGGTAAAAATGAATGAGATGATGTTAATGAATATGCAAATGAATGTAGCAATAGGCCAGATAAGAAACTGAAAAAGTTAGGGAAAATTTTGGGGTATGACAAGTCTCGATGAGCAACTATGAAAAAGGCTAGCCCAATAGCAAATCCATAAAGAAAAGCTCAGTTCTTCAATGTTGACAATCTTTATCCCATGTCATTACTTTGCATTTGTAATTTCTTTTCTGTTAAATGCTACTTGTTGTTAGACATTATTGATTATTAATGGTATTGTTAATGAAATGAGCATGTGTGTTTTGAACGAATCCATTTGTATTCACTCATCTTTTTTTTTTTGGCAAATAGTCACAAAAATATTTCTCCACTTCTTATTTTTTTGAAGATGAACACTTCTCGATGTACATCTCCTGAACGTGTGTGTTTTATTTTTCTTACAATAGATTTGTAATTTTTGTTTATTTTTCTTGTTGTTTACAAATAGATATGGTGCACCCCGATAATATCTCAAAAGAATTAGTTTTCACAAATGATATTTCTCTGAATATTCAAGAGGTTATCGTAAAGTCGATAGATGTCGGTGTTGACTTTAATAACAAGTAAGAGTTTGATGATCATGATAGCATCCTCACATGGATTCGTAGGACTGCAACTAGTCTTGGTTTTGGTATGGTTATGGGAAGATCAGATAATGGTACAGAAAGAAGAAACGCTTTTGTAACTTTGTTATGCGAAAGATGCGGGAAATATCAGACTCCTTTACGGAAGTTTAAAAGAGACGATACCGGCAGTAGAAAATTTGAATGTCCTTTTATGATTCGTGGTTACATGTTAAGTACAAAAATTCGAAAATTTAGTGTTATTTGTGATTTGCATAGCCATGAATTGTGCTTAAAGTTACAAGGTCATCCTAGTGTATGTCAACTCAAGCTAGGAGAGAAGACATGTATTAGTGACATGACCTTGAATCTTGTCCAGCCGAAAAATATACTTGCCACATTGAAACGGAAGGAACCTAACAATATATCAAATATATGACAAGTGTATAACATTCAGTACTGCACCAACAAGGCGGCAGGGGAGATATAAGTGAGATGCAACAACTGTTGAAATTATTGGATGATAACAATTACGTGTTCCAGTATAAAACTTGCGACAATGGAGTTCCGATTCAAGATATTTTTTGGACTCATCCGAATTCGATAAAGTTGTTCAACACATTCCCGACAGTGCTCATTCTTGATTCTACGTACAAGACCAACAAGTATATACTTACTTTATTTGAGATGGTTGGTGCTACGTCTACCGAGAATACATATGCCGTTGGTTTTGCTTTTCTGGAGTGTGAAAAAGGACAATTTTACATGGGCATTAGAGGCGTGTCAGTCACTTTTGAAGGACCAAGTTGAGATTCCTAAAACGATTGTTATCGACCGCGATACTGCATCAATGAATGCGGTTGCAAATGTGTTTACTTCTTTTAATGCATTACTTTGTCGATATCACATAACAAAGAATGTGAGAAGTCGGGTTAAACCCGCGGTGGGGGCAAAATAAGTAGAGTTTGAAGGTGGAAATTTGGTGATGGCCGGTGTGGTTGTTGAAAAAAATAATGGATTCATGGAATTGTATACTAAATTCTTCAACAAAATAATCATATGTCGATTCCTTCATTCAATTCCGGAAAGTGTGTGAAAAATATCCTACTTTATTGAAATACATTGAAAGCACCATTCTTGATCAGGTGAAGGAGAAGATAGTCTATCCGTGGATTGATAATGTCCGACACCTTGGAAATACAACCACCAACAGAGTTGAGCCGACCCATGCTAGTTTGAAAATTTGGTTGGGTAATAGTAAGGGGAATTTGCGTCAAGATTGAGACTCCGTAAATCTCATGATTAAAAACCAACATAATGAGATACAAACAACATTTGGTCGAAGTATAACGGTATTGGAACATCGGTTTAAAGACTACATTATTTGTTCTCTCTTGATCAACAATATGTATCGGTCGAGGTTGAACTATATTTTTCACGAGGCCAAACGTTACACTATTGTGAAAACCTATGATCTTCTATGTGCTTGTATTATTGTTAAAAAGTTGAAACTAGGTGAGCCAATAAGAATGAATGAAGTTTGCCCTAATTGGAAAAGACTTATTTTGATGATGGTGGTTGCATGGAAAGAGGTAAACTAAATATCTCTATTTTGATCGAATGGGAAGCGATACAAGAGAGATTCTCAAAGGTTGATGACAACATGAAACTCCACATCAAAGAACAATCGAGGAAGATTACCTATCCCAAAACAACCGACATGAAACCACTTTCTCAACCGGTAAAGACAAAAGGTGCTCTGAAGAAAATGAAGCCTACATCGAATGATAGCTTGACTACACATTCTCCTTCTTATTGTGAGCACGTTGAAAAATTTTATCCCGACTCACCGACTTCTAAATCTAAAAAAAAGTGTCATGAAAGGAGCCTGCATAAGCAAACCGCCCCGACCCCGATTCCACCGAAAATTCCATTCATCAACGAGATGCTAGTTTTTATGCACAAATACATTGACCGTATCGTCAATGTTGAAGGGGATAATAACTGCGGTTACTGAGCCATTTTAACTTTGCTTGGTAAAGGAATGGATAGTCATGCACTTGTTCGTCATCAACTAATCCAAGAGTTGAAGACGCATAAAGAATCGCACACACGATTGTATGAAAAGAAAGAAAAATTCGATGTGGTTATGAATCTCTTATTCCTTTTTTGAGTGGTCCAACACTGGTGTCAAAATGGATGACCTTTTCTGATATGGGTCATCTTATTGCACGTGCATATGATAGGGTGTGCATTGACTTGACGCGACACAGGTTTTTAGAAACCTTTTTTTCCACTCTCCACCGCACCACCTCAAAATCTAAATGATTGTATCATGTGTATTGGATGACTTGCAAAATCAAGACATTTTGTACAAGTTTACTTGAAACCGGGATGCCCCATACCATCTTACACCACTGGAATATGCGACTCATTCAACCGCAAATGTCGAGACGTGGCTAAATCGTTTTGTTGAAAGAATGTACGAATTTGAAAGATTGAACAACATTAAAAAGGAATTGAATGCGAAAAATTCCAAAGGGGTACCACCAATAGATTTAGCCGACAATATTTATTTTCATTCGTTTTGAATTTTTGTATAATCGAACGACTAATTGCAAAAATTTTGAAATGCAAAACAATCACTTTTTATTTTTATGCCTTATTTATGCACTTATGCCTTTTATTTGTCTATTATGATGTGCTTCTATATTGAGTTCTGATTTAAAAATGTAGCAGGAAAAGTTTCAGGGAAAGTTCCGGAGATACGCCTCCGAAAAAAAAATTGACAGAAAATGGTTGGTCCATATTCACCTATATTTTCTATAAATTTAGGGTTTCATTTGTTCTCTTTCACACAAATACAAAAATGTCACAATTGTTTGAAATCAAAATCCGTTGGTATGTCGCAAGTGTCTCATTTTCCGACGACAAAACACTCAGAAGTACGTTTAAGCTCATGGATCTCACCCCCTCCCGAATATCATAGACGAGATCCAATATCGTCTACCTTACAATGACAAACGAAAGGTTGTAGAGTTTGAGTATCGTTCACGTTCAGTTGACAACGAAGGGAACGCTGTTTTATAGCAAGTTTGAGCTCAAAAATCAAGACGATGTTATGACGATGTGACAAACATATTTCAGTTTCGAAGAGAAAATTCCGCTCGAGTTGGAGGCGACAGTCCGAAAAACGGTCGATGACATTTTAGAGATGTGCAAACATCCATTGGGATATTGAAATGTAGTATTTAAATTTTTGTCAAAATCATGAATGTAACGTCGATTTTATTTTATGAATGTTGATTTTATCATTGTAATGTTTACTTTCTGGTATTCTGTTTTCGTGCTTCTTCCGTAAATACGCATACGAAAATATTCCGTATATGCGTCTACAGAATTAATTAAATTTTTTTTAAAAAAATACGTCTGAAGATATATGTCCGGAAAAAAAAATATTTTAAGAAGAGTGCAGGGTGGTTAAGTTTAAGGGGTGAGATAAGAAATTCTCAAATTTTTTAATTGAACAATGAGGGGTGTAAGTATAAATGGGAGTAGGCCAAATTTAAGAGGGCAATGAAATGTAGAGATAAAAATGAAAGAATTCCCAAGTTGAGGACAGGCAGGATAAATTGAGAAAAAACATTTGAAACCCCCCAACACGAGGCATCGAGAGATCGAACAACAGACTTAGTTACTTTCTTCCACATCTCTCTCAGGTTAGCATTGGATTTTGATTTGACTCTTGTTTTTATTTATACCATGAGTTGGTGCATCTTCTAAGAGTATTATTATTGATTAGGTTTTAGATTGAATGGATACCGGAGGCAACTCCCTTCCATCAGGTTCAGATGGTGTGAAGCGAAAGATTTCGTATTTCTACGATCCTGAAGTTGGTAACTATTATTACGGACAGGGTCATCCCATGAAACCGCATCGTATTCGAATGACTCATGCTCTTTTAGCCCATTACGGTTTGCTTCAACATATGCAGGTCATCAAACCCACCGCCGCTAAAGACAGGGATCTCTGCAAGTTCCATGCCGACGACTACGTGGCTTTCTTGAGGGGTATCACCCCTGAAACACAGCAGGATCAGCTCAGACAGTTGAAGAGGTTTAATGTTGGCGAAGACTGTCCCGTCTTTGATGGTCTTTACTCTTTTTGTCAGACTTATGCCGGTGGTTCTGTTGGTGGGGCTGTCAAGTTGAATCAAGGTGTTTCTGATATTGCTATTAATTGGGCCGGTGGCCTACATCATGCTAAAAAATGCGAGGCCTCTGGCTTTTGCTATGTCAATGACATTGTGCTCGCTATTTTGGAACTTCTCAAGATACACGAGGTTGCATTTTTATTTCCCAATTTCCTTTCCTGCATTATCTTGTTCATTTTTGGATATTTAATCTTCATTTCCTTTCTCATTCCACAGCGTGTTCTATATGTGGACATTGATATCCACCACGGGGATGGTGTCGAGGAGGCCTTTTACGCCACCGATAGGGTCATGACTGTTTCATTTCATAAGTTTGGGGATTACTTTCCTGGAACCGGAGATGTCCGTGATATTGGATATGGTACTGGCAAATATTATTCACTCAATGTTCCCTTGGATGATGGAATTGATGATGAGACCTACCATTCACTGTTTAAGCCCATCATGGGAAAGGTGATGGAGATTTTTAGACCAGGTGCTGTTGTATTGCAATGTGGTGCTGACTCTTTATCTGGAGACAGGTTAGGTTGTTTCAATCTTTCAATCAAAGGCCATGCAGAGTGTGTCAAATATATGAGATCCTTTAATGTTCCTCTTCTCTTGCTCGGTGGAGGTGGCTATACTATAAGAAATGTCGCACGATGTTGGTGTTATGAGGTAGGTATTACACACTCCTGCACTTCTCTTACTTTATTGATTATTTGATGTCTGGAAATCACTGAAATGTTGATGAAAATAACACAATAGTTCATGACAAAAATCTGCTCTCATTCTTACAACTGACATTAAGCTCAATGGCATTGTGAACAAAATTTACTGAAAACTGTCAGTTTCGGTTCCATTTCCCTTTCATTCATTAGATTTCATCCAAGTATAGTAAAACAGTCATTAATGATACAATTATTCTAATTCCTATAACTTGTACAAAGTCAGACAGCGGTGTGTAGCGCCGAACCCCAAAAGTGTTATAGCGGATTGCGGGATGACCGCTACTGTGAAGACTAAAAACAATGTATAATTAAACACAAATTCCAATAATACACATGAATGCTTAAAAACAGAAAAATACACAGTTAAAAGGACAATCACATCACAGGTAGATGACACAGAGAAAGAACATGGAATTGCAGTTGGAGAATACGCAGGAAGAAGAAACATGGATTAAAATAGGTCACTTAATGGGGTGTGAAAACTTCAATACACCCTCAACAAAGGGGATTTGAGGTCTTTCCCCAGAACCTTAATAGTGGTCATCAAAGTGCTATTTGACCACTATTGCCACGACTCTGTAAGGCGGGGGTAGCAGATAAATGGCGCGTCAGTGAGGGGTTGCTCCGCTACGGTGGCGCTATCGCACACTACTGACAACAAAGCTTGTATTTATTCAGCAAGTAATAGGAATCATAGTAAAGACAAAGTCACTGCAATAATTACGAATGGTATAATCAGAGAATTCCTTATTGACATAATGCCTTCATATGTTTTCAAACTTTTAGCAGTCCTTTTATAATCTAATAGATTAGAACCAATTTGCCACCAATTTGCCACACTGTTGAGTGTTGGTTTGCTTTATATTTGATATGCGTGCAAAATGCAGTATTCTATTTTTAATGCAGACAACTGTTTTATATTAACACTATTGAATGTTGATCAGACAGGTGTTGCTCTCGGGATTGAACTAGATGATAAGATGCCCCAACATGAGTATTATGAATATTTTGGTCCTGACTATGCTTTGCACGTTGCTCCCAGTAACATGGAAAACAAGAACTCCCGACCTTTATTGGATGATATAAGATCAAAACTTCTTGAGAATTTATCTAGGCTTCAACATGCGCCAAGTGTCCCATTCCAGGAGCGACCACCAAATACTGAACTCCAAGAGGTTGATTTTGCATATATATTATTATTCTTACACTTTTAATACTCCATTGCTCTTGAGTAGATTCCATTCACACGAGATCTCACACTGAAGTCTTTGTTGAGAATTATACATTGTATTTCTAAAAGTGAAAACTCTTGTTTATCCATATGCAATAACATATTCAAATGGTCCACTATATTTTTCCTTGAGGAGTGCTAGGAACACACACATTCCAACACCTCATCTATTTATTGGTTAATGCTCATATGGGTCCCACTTAATATGGGACCCATATAATCACATGTAGAACCCATGAGTTTTAACTCAGAAGAGAGTATGTTGAGATGTGTGTATTAGAGAGTGTCTTCCTAGCATTATTCTTTTTCCTTTCTTAATTAGGTTTGATTTTTGGCATTTATGATTGTTGAATTGAAAGAATATTGTGTTAATAATGGAGAACTTGTTACAATTTTTTATGTTTAGAGAGATGAAGATGACGATGATAGAGATGAAAGATGGGATCCTGATTTTGAGATGGATGTTGATAGGTATTGTCTTGTGTTTTTGGAGTCCTGTCGAAATAGTCCGTCAATCAAGGTTCTTAACAGTTTTCTCTTTGCAGCAATTCTCTTACAGGAAGGGTGAAAAGTGAATACGCTGAAGCTGAGCATAAAGATGCGGTATGTCCCAACCTGAATCATCTTATCATTATGACTTCAAATCTAATAAGTGAATATAATGACAGGAATATTTCATTTTAATACTTTTCCTAACCGACTTAGTTGCCAAAGTTTATAATTTTCAGTCATGAAGGATTCTTGATCAAAGACTACTTTCTATAATGTATTATCACGTGACATATGCATATTTTTCAAACAAATCTAGTAATTTATAAAATCCTCAATGTAGTAGTCCTTAATTAGTTAAAAACATCCTTAACTTGATCAAGATAAAAAATGACATTATTTGGTTGTTATTGTTGTGTTGCTTGTCTCCTTATTTTACAGAGTAGTACTAGTAATTTGCTAAATGTTATGTCTATATGCACTAGGTTAGGAAGAATTAATCCCTTTTGGATGACAAAGTTGGAACTTGTTTTGTTTTCAGGAAAGCTATCATAATCATCTAGACAGTAGAAGAGACACCGTAATGGCTTTCAAGGATATTGCATGCTCCAAGGTTGAATGTTTTGTCCTTTATTAAACAAATATTTGTATCTGTAGGACCAGTCTGGTGGTGTTAAAATTGCATTTTTTCAGGTGACAGTGTCTCGTGTAGATTCAATGGCAGTGGATGAACCATTCATCAAAGAAGAGCAAGATAAATTAGCTGAGGTTTCTGATCAAAAGCCAAGATGA